ATTAATTTTAGCACTTACTAGTGGCTATTATTTGCAACAATTATTGCTGTGATGTTCTAATTAACCATGATTTACTATTTATTAATTGGAATTCTGTAAGGAAGAGCTGTTCCTTCTCCACTATTTATTCACTCATTCATTGATTCATTCATTCATTCAACTACTTATATTAGTATGGGGTCATGAATATTTATTTTATTCTATTGTTACTTTGTTACTCAAATTATTCCATCTTTGGCCATTGGGAGCTCTTTCAGATTGTTGTTTTGTTTGTTTTGTTTTTTTTTTTAAGGTTTTATTTATTTATTGGACAGAGAGAGAGCACAAACAGCGGGAGTGGCAGAGGGAGAGGGAGAAGCAGGCTACCGGCTGAGCAGGAAACCCGATATGGAACTCTATCCCAGGATCCTGGGATCATGACCTGAGCCGAAGGCAGATGCTTAATGGACTGAGCCACCCAGGTGCCCCTTCAGATTGGTTCTTGTGTCCTTTTTATTTACTCCCACTTCTCAATCTTTTTCATGTTATTTTTATTAATAGAATTTTTATTTTGGGAATAATTTTAGCTTTACACAAAAAACTTCAGACAGTACACACAGAGTTTCTACATATCCTTCACCCAGCTTCCCCTAATACTAACATCTTACATAACCATGATGTATTTGTCAAAACTAAGAAACCAACATTGGTACATTACCATTAACCAAACTCTACACTTATTTGAATTTCGTCTGTTTTTCCACTAATGTTCTTTTTTCCAATCCAGGATCCAATCCAGGATACTCATTTCATTTAGGAGTCCATCCTTTTTTGAGTACTTTCTTACTTACCACAAATGCTCCAGACTTGTCCTGTATTTTCTCTGCCCAGTCCTGGAATAAACCACTTCTCTAAGGAGCCCCAGCCAGGAGTTTTAAAAAATTCCAATGCCCAGGAAGCACCCTAGATTGATTAAGTCAGAATCTCTGGTTGTGAAATCCAGGCATTCATAGTTTTAAAAGCTCCCCAGGTTATTACAATGTGCATTTGAGACTGAGTACCACTAATGCACACCTTCCCTCTCATTGCCAAAGAATAGCTGAAACTATAATGTTAAGTTCCCAAATGTCAAAGACTTAAATGTATTTCCCAGCAGGCTCTATGTTCCCTGAAGACAAGGGACTCCAATTTGTTCTATAATCAGCCCCTAGCCCAGAACCCAGCACATAGAAGGTACCAGAAATGCCAAATAAATGAAAACTAAGTAAGTGAATCAGGTCTTGGCCCCCTTAGTGAATTTAGCCTCACCCTGACTTCCTTTTTCCTAATACCCTATCTTACATTAGACAGTTTTGCTGCTAAGTAAAGGCTACCCACCTCAAAGCCCTTGGGCAAATTTTCCAGACAGAAATCCTTGTATCTCCTCCCTAGAATGATGCCAATGCTGGCTTCCTCCCACTGGTCTACTATCAACTCCTTCATTTGGGTCCCCCTCTGCCACTTCTACTTCCAATAGCCCTTACAGCAAATGCTCAGAAAAGGTAGCAGCATCTTTATTCCCTGTACTTCGTCTGTCCTCCCTTTTCCTAGCCTGCTTCAGTGTCTCAGCTTCTTCTGCAGAGAGATACAGAGGGCACAGGCTCTGGAACCAGCCAAACCAGAGTCAAATCTCAATTCTCCCACTTACTAGATGTATACATTTGGGCAAATTACTGAACCTCTCTGAATCTCTGTTTCATAGTATGTAAAATGGGGATAATACCACGTACTTTGCAGGATTGTGAGAAGTCAAGAGAACATTTTTGCTAAACTAGAGCACAGTGTGAGCTCAGAAATGGCCACTGTGATTGTTGTTGCTGCTATTGTTATTGATGTTGTCTGTAGTAGCAGTAGTAGAAATAGTCGTAGTGGGAGTGGTGGTGGTGGTAGCAGGGATCAGTTTCCTGAATCACACACTATCATTTGGAAGGGACAGGGCAAGGCAAATTCTATAAAGGTGAGCAAGAACTTCTACCCATCTGTCCAGGGATCTAGAGTAACTAATAGAAGTTCATTTAGAATTTGCAGAATTCATTGCAATCACCTACACCATCCAGAGGAAATGGTCAAAATTGCACAAAGGCAACATCAGCCAAAGCAATTATTTGCTGAGAACACCATCTGTTTACATAACCCACAGATAATAATAATTAACATGGGGGGCGTGGCACACAATGACATCTTCGGAGTGCTTTTGTTTGCATCATCTCATTTAATTAAAACACCTCCCAATTTCAAGGTGGCTTTTTTTTTTTAACCATTTCACTGATGAGGAAAATGAAGTTGTATGATATAGTCACTGAGTTAGCAAGCGATGGAGTCAAAACTCACACAGGTCTCTCTGGCTCTGACATCCTTGTGGTTTCCACTCCTGGTTTGTTTTTGTTTTTTCTGGATAGGTTTATAGGTGGCAGAAGAGCACACTCATTTCCAGATCTGTTTGAAACAGGAGTTTCAGGAAAGGCTTAAAAGACTGGACTGCCTCACTGAAGAAAATGTCAAATCTAAAATTGGGTGAAGGGAGTCAAAATGTAAAAATTTCCAGTTTTAAGTGAAATCGGTTAAGTCCTGGGGATGTAATGTACAGCATGGTGACTAAATAATACTGTATTGCATATTTTGAAGTATTTAAATAGTACTGTATTGCATCACAAGAAAAAAAAATGTGTAACTGTCACCAGCTAGACTCCAAGACCTGCCATTTACTGCCCACCTGCTTATACTCACTAACCTTCGTCTTATATTTTTCCTTAAGCTCTTTTTCTGGCTTACCTCTTAACTCAGGCAGATGAAACCCAAAACCACACCCGGGGGATGGCGACTGCCCTGGCAACACCTTCCACTGCCCCACACCACCCAGACTGTTTGAGCTAAACCCCAGGCTAGTGCCTACGCAGATGGACCATGGAGTGACCTCTGGAATGACCGGCAATTACCTTTACTTCATTGTAATACTAAAATCTCTGCCCAAGAAGGAGCACTTGCCTCATTTATATAACATACAATGTGTGCCTAGGCATGTTTCCTTAAGGCGCATGTGCAACCTTATGCCCACCTCTATATACCATGACAGGGCTTTCCTATCTAAAACATCCATTCTAACTCTAAACAAAAAGAACCCATTCACCCTGGGGGAGTTACCACTTTGGAAGCCGTTCTCCATGATCTCCTTATTTGCTGCAAATAGAAGTTTTCTTTGTGCAACAAATTAACTTGGTGCAGTTTCTGACTCATCAAGGAGCCAACTCACACTGGTTCGGTTACATAACTATGTATGGTGATGGATGTTAACTAGATTTATTATGGTCATCATTTTGCAATATATACAAATACCAAATCATTATGGTGTATACCTGAAAGTAATATAATGTTATATGTCAATTACACCTCAATAAAAGAAAAAGAATCTGGGAAAAAAATGTTGAGCCTTCCCCTTCTCATTTAGCCTCCCCATATTCTCCCTCTGGCTTAGTGGGGGTGTGTTTATCTGGCAACTTGTTTCACCAATAGTCAGTCAGCTAACTAACCAAATAACCAACATGATTAGCCTATGCTAGGAACTGTGAGGACACCAGAAAAGATGTCCAGGCCTTCCCTCAGGCCAGTGCAGGAAACAGAAGTAACCCACCTAAGCAGAGTATGTGGGGTCAAGGGTCAAAGGAGAGAGAAGTCTGGGAAGAGTCTAAAGGAGGAGGGCATGATGATGGGAGTATGGGCTTGAGATGGGGAAAGGAACTGGAGATGGTGCCTTTGGTAGGAAATAACAATCATAAAAGCTGGGAGGAGGAAATGAGGGTGTTACAGGTCAATTGTGAAGACAGCAGCTACCTGTGGTTCCTATTTGTTGTCAAAGAACAGTGGGGAATAGAGTTGAGGCCTGAATAAGCTGGGTCATGAAACAAACAGCGGACTTGAATGCCATGTGCTGAGCAATTGGGAGCTGCGAAGTTTTTGAGCTAGGAAGGGACACTATAAATTTGATGTTAAAGCCAATTCTAAACATTTGCAAATTGCTTTAGACTAATTTGTTGCCTGATTTAAACTAAAACAATTAGTCCTCAGTGTCAAAGAAAGAAAGAAAGAAAGAAAAAAGAGAAGACAGAAAGTACTCAAGGCTCCCACCAACACTGCAAAGTGCCCAGTAACTTGGAGCATTAAAATTAGAAATTTCTCTTGAAAGTGTTTTGACATGAAGAAACATCAAAGACTAAGAAGCTTCAATTTTGGAACAACAAAGCATGTAGGTACAAGCAGCCAGGAATGGAGCAGAGAAAATTATGTAATCTTACTGGTAGAGAAAATGTCCCAAACCAAATTTTTTTAAATGCTATGGAATACCGGGGCGCCTGAGTGGCTCAGATGGTTGAGCGTCTGCTTTGGGCTCGGGTCATGATCCCGGGGTCCTGGGATCGAGTCCCGCAACGGGCTCCCTGCTTACTGTGGAGCCTGCTTCTTAAAAAAAAAAATCTTAAAAAAAAAATGCTATGGAGTACCTAACCGCTACTTTTTCTGCAGTGACCAGGAGAAATCCAATTTTTATAAGTCTTATACCCAATATTAAGGTTGCAAATTAAGCCTTTTTATTCATGTATATTTTGTTAGAATCTTTATTTTACTTTAACCTGTCCTTACAGTTAACATCTCCAAGGCACACACAGAAAAACCAAGATAACCATGTTGTATTTTAAAACCAGATGAGATAAATAATAAAATGCATGGAGCTCTGCTAATCTTTAGACTATCTGTTTTGATACTTTATCTTTCCAAATTGTTCTGTGATCATTAGGAAAGAGATTTCCGAACAGTAGGCAGGCTTTTGCTTTGTGAGTGGGGATAAAGGTTTAAGACGTGAGAAACCTTAAAAACAGACATAAGATGTTCTACACATATATTGAAACTCCAAACTCTGCTAAAAGTATTTTTCACCTTCTTAACCTATATTTGAATCCCAAGCTATTGGCTATATTCTAATTCATACTTACCTATGAGCAAACAAGGTATCAAGGCGTAGAAAAACCACATGATAAGACTTGGCAAGATTTCTTCTAAAAACACAGAGAGGGTCTGTGTTTGGCAGATTCAGCTCGACCTGGAACATTGTTTCCTTCCAGAATGAAGCATTCTGTCCATCTCAGCCATCCTTGCTTCAGAATGCAGATGTTGGAGCTGAGGTCTGAGTTGCCCTGAAGACTGAATTGTTCTAGAAAGAGGAGCCAGCCCAAACGGCTCAGAAAAGAGGAGCCAGCCCAGACAGCTCCCTCCTTTCTGTCCAAACCCAGATATTGCATCAGAGGGAGTGGCCTAGGAGAGTTCCAGGGAAAGGGTAACTCTGAGGAGCTTGAGAATCTGCCTAGGAGAGATAACTGACCAAGGCTCTGTCCTGGGGGACCCTGGATGTCCCTAGAATCCTCACTGGCGGTGAGCAAGCAAGATTATTTTCACCTCTCCTCAAATAGCTATCCATCATCTTCCAAGTCTCCATCTTGTCAGTTCATTCAAACTGGGTACTTACTAGCTCCTTTTGCTACATACTCCAGAAAAAGTAAAGAAGTTAAAAAAATTTTTTTGAATATCTTTTGAAAAGTCAGAAGGTGAATATTATAGCTTTATATTTGTTTATATTTGCAAAAAGAAAACCTGGAAGGAGATACAGAAACTAACAAGATTGGTTACCTTGGAGCAGAGAGAGTGGGAATCAGCAAGATGGAGGAGAAAAATGGGACCAAGACTCCTTGCAGTATATCTTTGTTTGTTTGGGGGCTTTTTTGAAATTTGTTTTTTATTTTGGTAAAATACACATAACATAAAATTTACCTTCTTAACTATTTAAAAAAATTTATTTAAATTCAATTTAATTAACATACACTGTATTATTAGTTTCAGAGGTAGAATTTAGTGATTCATCAGTTGCATATAACACCCAGTGCTCATTACTTCAAGTGCCCTCCTTAATATCCATCACCCAGTTACCCCATTCCCCACCCATCCCCCCTCCAGCGACCCTCAGTTTATTTCCTAGAGTTAAGAGTCTCTTATGGTTTGCTTCCCTTTCTGTTTTCATCTTACTTTATTTTTCCTTCCCTTCCCCTATGTTCATCTGTTTTGTTTCTTAAATTCCACGTATGAGTGAAATCATATGGTATTTGTCTTTCTGACTTCCTTCTTAACCATTTTTAAGTGGTATTAATATATTCAAATTGTTGTGCAACCATCACCACCATCTGTCCCTATAAATCTTTTCATCTGGTAAAACTGAAACTCTATACCAATTAAACAGTAACTCCCCATTCTCCCCTCCCCTTAGCCCCTGGCAACCACCATTATACTCTCTGCCTTTATGATTTTGACTACACTAAGTATCTCGTATAAATGGAATCATGCAATTACTTGTCTTTTTCTATGACTGATTTATTTCGCTTAGCATAATGTCCTCAAGATTCACCCACGTTGTAGCATATTACAGAATTTCCTTCCTTTCTAAAGCTAAATAATATTCCATTGTATGTACCACATTTTGCTTATCCATTCATTCATCCGTCAATGGACATTTGAGTTGCTTCCACTTTTTAGCTATTGTGAATAATGCTGCTATGAACATGGGTGTACAAACAACTCTTCAAGACCCTACTTTCAATTCTTTTGGGTGCTGCATATCTTTTTGTACTGTTTGATGTAAGCATTAGTGGGGTGCATTAGTGGGAGAACATGGGTTTTAGAGTGCCACAGATTTTGGTTGCAGTTTCAGAATTTATTTGCATTATAACCTTTGGGAAAGTTATTTATTCATTCAACAAATATTCACTAAGGGCCTACTGTGTACTAGAATCTGGGAATTCAATAGACCCTGCCCTAAACCAATAACTTTTCAACTGGTGGTGAATATAGGTATGGGAATAATCATAAATCAATACTGAAGATAAAATGACAGAAATATCCACAAAGAAATATAGGAGCACTAAGGAGAAATACCTAACCTAGCCTGGAGGATTAGAGAAGGCTTCCTGAAAGAGGTGACTTTTAACCTGAGTGTTAAATGAAAAAAATTAGCCAGGCATAGTGTACTTAGGAAACCACAAGAAGTTTCGTTCAACTGAAGAGCAAGATTGGGTGGTAAGAAGTGAGGCTCAAAGGCAGACAGATCCAGGATTCCAGACAGCTTTGAATGCTTTGTTGAGGACGTTAGAGTTTATCCTGAGAGCAATGAAGGTCAAAGGAGGGGTTAAAACCTCAAATCTCATCATGTTATTCCCTGCACTGGGGGTTTAAAAAGTTTATGACTAGAGTGGAGAAAACAGTGGAAGGGACAAAACTGGAGGGAGGAGGGCAAGGAATAAACTATGTTGGTCAGTGAGGTGAGAGATAGTGTCGGCTTCCACTAGGCTTTCCCAGGTCTGTAGAGAGAAGTGACTAAATTCAAAAGATGAAGGAGGTAGAATTGATAGCTCTTAGATATAGAGTGGATTAGGAGGGTGAAGGAGGAAAACATGACTTTCAGGTTCTAGGTTTGAGTAACTGGGTGGATGGCAGCACCTCAATCAAAATAATGGAAAGGATGGGCGCCTGGGTGGCTCAGTCGTTAAGTGTCTGCCTTTGGCTCAGGTCATGATCCTAGGGTCCTGGGATCGAGCCCCGCATTGGGCTCTCTGCTCCGCGGGAAGCCTGCTTCTCCCTCTCCCACTCCCCTTGCTTGTGTTCCCTCTCCTGCTGTGTATCTCTGTCAAATAAATAAATAAAATCTTTAAAAAAAATAATGGAAAGGAGGAGGGAGAGGTGAGGTCAGGCTAGGTAGGGTTGGGGGTGGTAAAGAAGAAGGTTGCGTGTGTTCACCTTGATACACTTCAATTTGACATGCTTCTATGGGCAGCAGCAGTCTCTAGTATGTTAATGATCTTTGTCTCAACTCTTATGGGTGTCAAGGGTATGGAACCATTTCCCCTACCTTCAGCATTCCAGTGGTAGCAGAGACCAGGAAGTGGGTGAAAACATGCAAGGAGAGTATGCAGATTAAGGAGACACGTGGACGTGCTCTTGGAGAAGACCTACATATAAGGACCAGCACAGGAAAAAAGATATGGAGATATAGGGAGAAAAAATAGGTCAAAGAGGTAGCCCTGGAGCAAACTGTGGTCCTGGAAATGAGGAAGGATGGGGAAATCATCAAGGAGGAGTGCAGAAGAGTTATTGAGTTGATCACTGAAAAATGTCCCCTGGATTTAGCCCCTGGAAGTCCATTTGTAATCTCAGAAGAGTTTCAGTGGAGAGCTTGGCTCATGGGATAGTTGTAGGTTGAGGAGTGAATAGGAAAAGTAGTACTCCTTTGATGTGAATGGGAAGAAAGCAACTCCATGAGCCTCATTTTTTCATTTACAAAATAGATAATGTCGATTAAAGAATACAGGAAACACAATTAGCCCAGTGCCAGGAACACAGTAGTCTTCACAAATGCTGTATTAACCATTTGTTATATTAACAATGTTAACAATAGGGGCACCTGGGTGGCTCAGTCGTTCGTTAAGCGTCTGCCTTCAGATCATGGCTCAGGTCATGATCCCAGGGTTCTGGGATCGAGCCCCACATTGGGCTCCCTGCTCGGGCGGGAAGCCTGCTTCTCCCTCCCCCGCTCTCCCTGCTTGTGTTCCTGCTCTGTCAAATAAATTAATAAAATCTTTAAAAAAATGTTAACAATAAATATACGGGCCCCTGGCTGGCTCAGTCAGTGGAGCATGCAACCCTTGATCTCAGGGTTGTGGGTTTGAGTTCCACACTGGGTGTAGAGATCACTTAAAAATAAAATCTTAAAAAAAACAAACAATGTATACATTGGGGATTATTCACTTTGGCTGGTCCTTTGCAGGCTCCCCATCTTATGGTTTGACCCTTGGATCAGCAAAGTCTTCCAGTTGAAGATACCTATTAGAGGGTAGTTAAAAGAAGGCTCTGGAGACAACTGTCTGGGTTGGCATCTAGACTCTGCCAATTACTAGTTGTATTTTTTAGGAAAGTCATTTAAACAGTCTGTTTTAGTGTCTTCATCTGTAAATTGGAGACCATAGTACCTAATTCATAGGGCTGTTGTGAGTAAACAGGATGGTATACTTAGAATGGGATCTAGCAAAGTAAGTGTACAGTAAATATTACCTGTATATTTTTTACTACATCATGGTCAAGAACATTTGGTGCATGTTCTCCTTGATCCCAGCACTGAGTCAGTGGCCACATCTGTGCCCTGACCTCTGGTCACCAGCTGCTTGTACACAGTCTCTCACTGCTCTCCAACTTCTGATCCCAGCCCCCTCTGCCTTTGGGTCTGGACACAATCCAATTTGGGAGTGTTTCATACATACTGGCATTAACACCTGTCCCCACTTTTACTTTTCTTCTCCCACTCCTGGCTTCCTGATTCCTCTATCCTAAGTCCATTTCTGCCCACAATTTCCACATGTTAAAAGCTAACAATAAAAGTCAATGAGTACTGGGTATCTATTGCCTGCCAGGAATTGTCCCTAAAGGTTTTCCATAATTATAAAGATATTATACAAGAGACTTACAAGGTAAGATATGATTTCCAACTTTTCAGATGAGGACACAGGGCTCAGAGAAATTTATTGTACATCACAGAGCTAGTCAGGGATGGAGACAGGAATTCCAACCGAGGTTTGCCTAACTCCAAGTCCTTTACACTCACCTTACTGCCCCACAATGTGTCTGAGGAGCACAGTGGGGTAAGCGATCCTGGAGATTAGCAAAGGTTTTGGGGAATAGACAAATCTCAATATGGAATCCTAAGGATCTACCAATTTAGATTTCGGTAGGAGAGATGCATTCAGTTTAGCCACTGTGCCAGCGGCATGAGCCAGGCTCAAGGACCAAAAAGTTAAAGGGAATACAGACTGAGGATGGAAAGGAAAAGGTCCATAAACAGAAAATGACAGACAGAACAATACTCATTTACTTATGCTGTGGGGGAAGCAGGAGAGTTGTTCAACAGAACTTAGGTTCTGTTCTTCAGAAACAGGTCTTAGGATAGTTAGCTCTATTTGGGCATGGGTTCCTGTCAAGATGCCCATCTGCCATGCTGACAAGGCAGTACTACTGAGTTTTCACAAGCCACTGCAAAGAGAGCCTCCGTCTTGGGCTCAGCACATCTCAAGGGACACTGAGGGGTAATGCTACCTGCCTGCCACAGCTTTTGAATGAGAGTCCCTGTCAGGACTGTTTCATGACTCAAGGAACTCAGATCATCACCTCTGCTTGGGCCTGCCATTGGGTGAGAACTTCTGGAGGGTTGTGCCTCACCTTCCCTTACCTAGACACCCCCACTCTGATCTT